TTAGCTATATATATATATAATAAAAATGTATTTCCATTTATTTTAATGATGTTACTTACAATAAAGTTGTAACAAGTTCAGTTTCATTGGCACACATAATGGAGAAATATAAAGTACATTGCATACAAATTTTTCCTACCATTATACTAACTATTTTGCTGAGATTACTTTTTCAATATGACATTTTAGAGTTTCTAGCTGCTTCATAGTTTCTGCATCTAATGGAGGAATATGTGACATACGTAAACCATCATTAGGTAGTAAAGATATTACATTGCCATTGCGCAAAGGCACATTAATATTGGCAGTCTCATCTTGAACAATTGCAGAGACCAATAAGGGGCTACCCTGCATACTAAGCACCATTTCCCCTCGCCTTGGACGTCTTAATACATTTAATGGAGTATTGGGTTTCACTTTTGGAGTCACAAGACTAAATTGATTATTATCAACTTTCAAAACAGCAGGGGTTTTAAAGTTATCAACATTTATAGATCTTTTAACACGTTCTTTCTTTGTTACTTTCTTTACAGTTTCTTTATTTATTTCACTAAGTTTCATTTTACTATTCCTCGAACTACTACGCGTCCTTCTAGTAGATGCGGTTTCCCTCGGTTTCATAGCCCTTGATGTATGTGTTGTAGCAACACCTTCGGTTACGTATCCATCATCGGACGCGGTAGTAATTCTTTTCACAGTTTTCTTTCCCTTCGCTGTCGTCGAAACTGACGGTAACGAATAGTCATCGACAGACGACGAAACTTCATTGTCACTTTCGTAGCTGAGTATTTCACCGAGAGTCATCTTTCGTATCTCGGCAGGAAGGCGGGATAAAGTAACGTCGATAAACGTTTCAAGACTTTTTATTGCCATTTTTGCTTCCGCCTCCATTTTTAAAATTCTCATATGTGCCTGTCGTTCAAAATCTCTTATTAATAAATCACTTTCTTCCATGGGCTGCTCTTCTTGTTTATGTCTTCGAGCACGTTTCGTTCGTGGCATTTTAATAGACGTAAAATAAATACTATAACCAAGCTGTTGGTTGGCTTTTTGATCGCACGTGTGTATTTTGTAAATTAGTATATTTATAAATTCCTTGTTTAATCGATTCACATCAAAATGATGTTTTTCATTTCGTTTACCGCCGTTAACAGTTTAATGTTTGATATCAATGAGTATATAAAATGCAGAACGACAAAATGATTATGAATTACACGCACTTTAAAAAGGAACGCTCTAGTGTCGTTTATGCGTACTACATTTTCTGTGTTCAGAAATGCATGAAAATTAATTTATCTTATATTATTTATTATTTCATTCTTAAAATTACTGTTAAAATAAACCTTTAAAATGTTTATATTTATCGAGAAAAATATGCAAGTACTAAAAATTATTATTTTTCGTTTTAAGTTATACCTCTAATAAATATACGACAACAATTATTGGATAAGTGACTGTCTATATCATTCAGAAAAATTATGTAGACAGCAATTCTAGACGAAATACGAAAATTTTATTAATAAGATTGAAAACTGATAATATTTCAATAAATAGACATTGGAGTAAATTCTTGAAAATTTGTTTAAGAAATCCTTATATTACGTACATGGAAATGCATGCTGCTATTCCTTACGAAAAACTATTTTCTGATTACAGACGAAATGAACGACAAGAGATGATGATAGCTGCTCCGTTAGATTTATCATATAAGAAAGCGACTACAATGAATGGTACGTAATATAATAGGAAATTTTGATGGTTAAAAAATTACATGTACCGTTAAAATTGTACAACATCGTTTTGTTGGAGTTGAAAGAAAATTTTAATAAAAATCTCCCTTTTATTACAAGAGAATTGGCAAGTAAACGTCCACAAGCAGTACGAACGAGTAAAATTCCGTTACGGACGTCTGCAGATCGTTTTGTAACATGTTCTTTATGGTTAAGCAATAATTTATTATCTTCAATGGATGGATTCGAACAGCTTGCGCACAAAGTTCTCGATGATCCTGTGTATCTTAGTTGGCTTGATCTTTCTTTTAACGAAATAGAAAAAATTGGAGATGACATTACAAACTTTTTGAACTTAAAGATTTTTTATTTGCATGGAAATAATATCTCAGATATCAATGATGTTGTGAAATTGAAAAGGTTAAGAAGTCTGAAATCATTAACGCTACATGGAAATCCGATTGAAAATCTTCCATTTTATAGAGGATATATCGTTCATATACTTCCAAAATTGTCAGCGTTAGACTTTTCAGCAGTATTATCTGCTGAAAGGAAGAAGGCACCACCTGCTGGGTTTTACAAAATAATACGCAACAGTACATGAATATAAAACTTTATTTTCAAGTTTTGTATTAAATACACGCCTTCTTAAGTATCGTTACTTGTAATATTTTTTGTCGAGAATGTACCGTTTTTCTTGAGGTACTTTGACTCAATGCTCATAGAAATAATTTATTTTAAACCTACTGTTACCGTGTTTAAATTAACTCAAGATATGTACCATACAGTAAAAATTAATTGTCCTATTTAAATTGCATATTAATTAACAGAGGTAAAAAAAGGCCCCATATTATATTACAAACTTTATGCAACTGCCCACGTGACTGCAGTATCTCCTTTGTAATATACATAAGAATTTTTTATACACCGAGTGACTCAATGTCGTCTGTGTTTGCTGCGATGTTTACTTGATTTTTCTACATCTCTGTCTCGAGATCGACTACGCGATCTATAACGACTGCGTGATGATTTATGACTGCCGGATCGTCTTCGTTGTGCTTTTTTCGGTTTTCGAGATCGGCCATGACTATGACTGCGAGATCTGCTTCTACTGTGTTTCTTTCTCTTGGAATGCTTTGTTCCTTCACCCCTAGACGGTGAAGTACTTGGCGATTTCGAACGCCTGAAGAGAGGTAGCAAAATGTTTCGAATATAAATAGAAATTACTTAGATTTTGTTACGATATTTTTTTACGACATCATACCTGGGAGACTTTGTTCTTTCGGGTGCCGCGTGTGTTCCACTACGGCTAATAAATCCACCCCAGGCGTTGTGATGTTTAGGCAGAGGTGGGCTTGGTGTGTGACTATCAACATCCCCACTCCTTGCTTTGGTTCTTGCTTCTTCATATTGTCGGCGAAGCTCTTCAACGCGTTTCTCTAACTGTTCTGGTTTAACGCGGGGTCGAAAATAAAGTCGTAATATACGACGACAAACATCTCTAATTGCAGATTCATTGACTTTAAAGAGAGAGAACCAAGCAGGTGAGGTAGGTAAGGGTAATTGAAGTTGTCTTGCTCCCAGATAGACACATGCACATGCAACTGTTTCTGGTTGATGTCTTAAAAATACATCCGATCTCAAAGAGTCGTTCATATAATTCCAACATTGTTGCATCAGAGCATGATTTTTCTCGTATCCCAGTACTTGCAAATACATGACAATTATTTTGTGAGGATGTTTTACATGAACACAGAAACCTAATTCCTTTAGGACTCTCCTTTCTGATTTAATCACTTGATTCTTCAAAGCTACATAATTCTGATCAAGTATTACAGGCTGTATTGACCTAAGAATAAAAAGAACAACAGTTGTTATTCATATACATAGAACCTAATGATAACATCGAAGATAGTAAACTGCAATTACTTTTGGCTGGAGACTTGTTTTATGTGATTAAACACATTGATAACATCTCTGATACGTCTAGGTGCCTCTTCAATTTTACTAGCTAAACAAATACAACCCATTGCAGTTGTTTCCATATTATGTCTAACTAATGATTTACTATAATAAAATCGTTGGAATATTACTTGTCCTGTGGCCATTGCAACCTATTAAAAGAAAGTGATTAAAGCAAAGACCATAAGTCCATAGGTTATAGAGGTTATAGCGTTTACAAACATTTTGTTTACTAATGAAAGAGATGACAAACCTGCGGCAATTTTAACAAAATACCAGCTGTCTGTATTAGCTCGCATCCTAATATCCTTAAATCGGTTTCAGTTTCTGCGTCCAGTCCGTCTAAATGCGACGGCGTCGAGTTAAGCTTTTCTTCGGGTAAAAGACAATTTTGTAATGTTAATACAATTTTTCCATAAGGTTTCGCATTTCCTATAATTATATTTTTTGCTGCAGCTGTAGAATTTTCTTTCGTATTACTCATTTTATCTCACACCGTTTAAAACAAAGAAAAACTTTTTTCCGCTCAATCACTTATTAGAGAAGAGGTTAACCTTTCATTTTCTTGAACACCATACCTTCGATGTATAACCTTAAAGTTATGTATTTATTTAAAGAAGCATAATTCGTATTGAATTCACTTGTTCGGTGTGGCGCTGCAGTTTACCTTTTGAAAATCAACCGTTTTATTTGACTTTTCTTAATATCGTTAATCGATGGGATTAAAAAAGATATATACTTGGGAAAAAATGCGGCCCGCGTTATTTTTGGTACGGCGAATTTATACGAAAAAATATATGTGCGTTTTAATATACGAATTATATCGTTCACATGACTAGTCTACTTCCGGTTGGAGCCATTAGTCGGTAGTTTGAGGAACGCTTTTGCGCGCGAACGACCGTTGCTTCTGAAAGTTTGAAATGTGAAGGGAAATAGTTGGAAAAGTAGGAAATAGTAGTGAAAAGTGGTGTGAAGTGGTGAAATACAGCGTAAAATAGGAAAACACGATGGATAAAAGTCAAGGTATTGTATTTTTTTCATATTAAGTCTCGAGAACATATTCTTTATCTGTAATGAATTTACCGGGTCACGAGCATATGTTCAAAACTTTGAAAGTCCGAGAATGAAGGAAGCTCATTTTTTAATATTGTTCTTTTCGCATTTTCTTACAGAGCTTTCAATCTGTGAACGTTGTTACGGGAATACAGGAATAACATCTAGAGCGAATCGGTGAGTGTCATTTCATACTTATACGAATAATATAAAAAATTCAATTCGAACGATTCTAATCGTTCCGAGACGTCATTACGTTGAAAAAATGTTCGGTTATTTCGAATTGTTTGATGTGCGTAAAATTTCTCAGTCTTCGACACGGGATGATTAGAAAGAAGTGTAAGGATATTTCGTTCAAGTATATAATGATACATGTGATTTTGTCACTACATGTCAACGTTTCGTCGTTTAAAAATCAATACGCATGCAAAAATTTTTCACGATATCAAATTCACACGAATTCTCCGTCAATTTCAATTGAACATTCTTTGTCGAACTTACAAAGTAATAGGATTTTCCGCACATCTCGCAAGAACGATGTACTAGCGTAATTATAAATATATACAGATCAAGAAATAATACATTGTAATATAATACAGTCGCATAACATAACAATTATTATACAACGTATACATAGTAGTAACTCATAGTGAAACGTAACGCAAAGTAAATAAAGAACTAACAATATAGCGTAGATATCATTCGTACGTTATACAAATAATTGTATTTCTAGTCTCATCGAGTTCTTTCTTCTTCAATTTCGGTCCCTGTGTTTCTTATTACGTACACGTGTTCTGTTTTCTCTTTTTTATTAGACGAGTAGGAGAAAGCAGTTTTCTTCGTATATCGATTAATCAATTTTCGTTGTGCTGATTCAACCCTGCCTTCGCGTAGTCGGTTCTAGAATTTCTGACAATTCGAAATAGATCGAACGAGGTACTTTGACAAATATTTCGCGTAACTATAACGTGGACCGAAGTAGGAACAATTTTCACGTTTGCAAATCAAATCATCGTACGTACTTTTTTTTTACCGCTTAACCTCACATACAATATATTAGTCGAATATGGAGCGACTCGTGGAACGTTGCTGCCTCGACAACGCAACTACACAATACATATTGATGAAACCTCTCGAAGGGTGTTGTTGTGTCGTTAAAAAATTTGAAAAAATAATATTTCCAGCGTGCTTGCTGTGCTTCTTCCCTGTATCGTACTATATAAAGGTCTTAAAGCATCTTAAATACTTAGAAATCGGTACACGTATCCACGTTAAAAGTCATTCGATAACGTTACATTGGTAATCTGGCAGTGATACAGCTTCTTATTCTTCGTTCCCTTCTCATAAGTAATTCTCGTAAATTATGACGACTCGGCGACGTCTGTCCGTGATTTAGACGAGGCCTCGTTATTTAATCGCGTTGCGTCCTTGTTACACGCTACTTCACTTTCAACCTTCTCCGTTCCGATACTCTCCACCTTGTTGTCCGACTTAATCGACGCGTTCAAGCTTTTCAAAAAATTGCCCAAATGCTCTGCAGCTATCGGATTGTTCGCCCATTCGTTAGATGGAAACGCAGCCAACAATCTCTTCTGAAACATTTCCGAAGTCAGCTGTTTCGTATCGGGTTGTTTAAACGTACCTTTCTTCTCGTTATCGTTCGTCGAGTCTTCGGCAACGTTGTTATCAGCTTCGGTCGAATGCTCCGAAGACTTTAACGCGTCCGACGTTTGAGAAGGCGAAGGGAAGCCTTGTTCGACCGTAGAGCAACTTTTACCGGTAAGAGTGTCGATCGTTACCGAGCTAGAGTCTGGACTAGCAGGTGACTTGCTACTCGACACTTCAGCACCCATATTGTTACTTTTCGTCGGACTTGGTGCTGGTAGATCGTTGTCGATTCCATTCGAACCAGCGTTCACGTTGTCGTTACGACTGCTAGCGGTCTCGTTACTCGTATTTGTGTTGGTATCTCCCGGTGGTGGAGACGGAGAAGCCGTGGATGATACTCTGGGACTGGCTGCTTCGCGATTAGGCGTTTGTCTCGACGAATTATCCGCTTCCTTGGTCGTTTCGTTACTCGTTTCCAAGGTAGATTCGCGAGGAACCTCGGTAGATGGTTTATCCTCGGTGCTCGCGCTACCGTTGTTAGTGCTCCTTGGTGAGAATCGGTTGTTACTCTCCGCAGCTGGCGAGAATTTCGTTTGGACGGACAGTTGTTTAGCAGATTCGGTGGAATCGAGAGGCTCGTTACTACGAAATGCGGGTGTCTTGTTGATCTCGTTGGCGACAGACCTGTTTACGCAGGCAGATTTATCGTTGGATGGTTGCTGCTTGGTTATCGGAACAGCTAGAGGCGCTACGGATGATCTGGCTGGTTTCACCGGTGGACATTGAGCAGCTAGATGACTTTTCCCCGGTATATTGCTAGTTATACTTCGGTTCTCGCTGATGGGGATGTTGGTGGAGTTGGCCTCTGTTCCTCGAGGTAGCCTGAGCCTCGCGTCCATTTGGAACTGTTGGAGATTCGGTGCTTGACTCAGAGCATAGAGACTCTGCAGACTTGGAAATACAGACGATAGATTGGTGTTCGATCTGTTGTTGTTCAAAGGACTGGAAAGTCCTGGAGCGTAGACTGGAGTTCTCGATGGCGCAGGAAGCGGGCAATCGCTCACTCTATGCGCTGCTGGAGTCAAAGATCCAGGCGGTGCTCTGTAGTATCTATGCCCTCCGACCAACGTTACAAGTTGCCCCTGATCCGACATGCTAGGCATGTTATCTCTGATAGTCGATTTCGCTTTTAATTTCGTCACTGGCTGTGGTATTCTCAGCGGATGTATATCCACCTTCTTCCCTCCGCTCAGGTCCAGAATATCTCTCGATTCTTGCTCTCTTTTTCTCTTACTAAGCGGTGCTGATCTTGGTTGATTCGCTTCTCGTTCTTGTTTGGTTTGTCTCGGTTTCGGCGGGGCTGGCATTCTAATCTGTCCAGCCTTCAAGGCTTTCAGTACCCTTGGATCGACGGATCTGTCGTTGAGAGTGATACTGGGACTAACTTTTCCTAGCGTGTTCTTTCGATTATCTTTGGAATCGTTCGGTTCTGGAAATCCTCCGCTGCTACCGGGTGATTTTGGCGCTGTTAAGGTTATACTGAGGCTTGCAGGGATGTTCAATCCACAACCGTCTAATATATTTCTGGTGTCGTTCGATAGTATCGGACTGGAAGAGGGTTTAGAAGTTGGTGTAGCGGGTGTTCTACTTGGGCCAGGTTCTCCGACCAAAGTTGCGGGTCTTTTCGCTGGGACAACGTGTTCCGTAGCCAGTTTCCTAGGTGACTTGGCGTTACTTTGCACAGCAGCAGCTTGCTTCTTTGCAGCCTGAGTTTGAGCCGGCTGCTGTCTTTTCCGCTTGACATCGAAGATCGGTAATCCAGGTGGGCATTTTCTCTTCACTGCTCCAGCTGGAACAACCGGCGGTGGATCGTTGGAAAATGTATACACATCCACCTTCGCGGCGTTGCTATTTGCGTTGATGTTCACAGCGTTCGAGCTCTTCGGATAACCAAACGAGCACGGATCTACGTCACTGCACTGTTTATTCAGGTTCACTCGCGTATTTCCGCCAATTCCACCCGTCGTTGCCACCCTTTTACTCGCACTTACACCGTTATTCTCCCCGTTGCTCTTGTTCTTCCCCTCGTCTGTTTTCCTCGACGTCTCTGGCACAACATTATCCTCCTTTTTCGCCTTTGCGTTGCTCTTAATGTGCGTATCAGTTGTTTCACTACTGGCACTCGTCTCGAAACTGAACTTGGAAGTAGATTCCAACGACGTGTCCGGTGCCGTCTCCCTCGCCGTTAACTGGAAACCCTGAAGGAACTGTTTCTTCTCCTGTTGCTCTCCCGGCTTCTTCTGCGCTGCTTTCGACGCATTGCTAGTAGCAATCTTCTCCGGAGTAGATCGTTCCACAAAGGTTACCCTCCTTCTCTGCTTTTCCTGTTTCTCCACTACTGGCGGTTTCTCCCTCGGAACCTGCTGAAGTACCACCGTTCCAGGGGCCTCCTTCTCCATTTGTCCGCAGTGCAATAACACGTTGCTGATAACTTTCGGCTTCGTTGGACTCAAAGGATTGTTCGGTGTACACTGTTTCAACGTGATCTTCACTCCGTTAGAATTTTGTCCACTGCCTATGCTCACGACGCTGAATTCCGGACTGGAAGGCTTCGTTTCTGTACTCGTTACGCTCTGCTCTTTCGAACTCCAACTTCCTGGAGGACTCCTCAGGACTTCGTACCTTCCGTCCGAGTTCTTCAGTATCTTAATAGGTGTTTTAACCAGTTTGTTCTCGCTACTCGATCCGGTAGAGGCAACTGTATTGGTCGGCGTCGTTGTGCTAGTCGTCGAAGCTATCGAAGTAGTCGTCGACGTAGAGGTTGCCGACGTTGCTACGTTAGTCGACGATTGTCCGTCCTTGATTTCGCTTAGAGAACGTGCTTTCCTGCTCGAGACTTCGCTCTGATTGTCCACTGCGGCTGGTTTCTTCTGAGATTCGTTCGTTCGGTCCACTTGTGCCCTAGGTTCTGCACTCTTCTCGCGATTATCCGCGTTGGCGTTGCCCTGTGTGTTAACTGTGACGTCGACGGGAGGCAAACTGGCGCCTAAACCTGGCGTGGAAGGCCTGTCGTGAGGAGGTGCCTCTAATCTTTGCTCCTCTAGCGCCACTCGGTAGAAAAATCGCATAGGTGCGTTCTGGAAATATAATGTTCAAACGTTAGATCATTCGCGAAAATTGTCCCAGAGTATCGTACAAGTATGATAGACCAGGTGGTATACCCTTTTCCACGCGTAAATGTAGGCCACGTCCATGAGAGTCCAGTGTTCCGGAAGTGGAGCACGTCGATGACAGATTTCGATGGTGTATCTCGTCATATCGACGCTGTACTTCAAAGCTAGGAATTTTTTTAAGTGTGCAATGGTCACCAGCGCCGGACACTGCAGGTATCGCCTGTTGCTCGTCGTGTTTGTGTTGTGGTTGCCGGTGCTTTTGCTGTTGGTATTATTACTGTTACTGTTGCCGGTGTTGTTTTGATTGTTGGGTAAATTCGAGTTGCTGGCGTCGTCGTTGGGGCTAAGTAGGATGGTCAAGGGGTCCGCTCCGGGTGGAAGATACTCCAAACTTAAGCTAACCGCGTCCTCTGGAGCGAAGATTAACCTCCCGCTCACGTCTTCTCCGCGTTGTTCCGGAGTGGCCAAGTCCGCTGTATGGAGAATTTGTCGTAAGAAAAACTCCTTCGCTTCGTTGGAATAACGATAACCACGGTAGACGATTTTTACCATGCTCCGGATGCTTTTTGTAAAATTCTCTTCTCTTCCGCATTTCTTTGTGATACAATCCTGGGACCAATTTGTACACGATATCTTGCAACGCCTTGTCCGCTCTGGAAATGAACACGATTTCGTAAGGTTTTTAAACGTCGAGCAACTTTTCGAGACCTCGAACGGTGGATAACGCGGCGAAACTTACTTGATGTTCGGTTTGGCTTTGTTGAGAACATGTTTGCAAGAGGGACAATGAGCTTCTGTGTTGAGATGCTTGAGGATGCAGCTTCTGCAAACTGAACGGCGAAAAAGCAACGTATCATTATCCGTTCCGCGGAATAGGAACTCCGGTCTGGTCTCTCGATTCAATTTACTTACACGAATGCAAACACTCGACGACGGTGGTCGCGTCTATAAGGTAACCTCTGCACAACGGACAAATAAGATAGGGATTTACCTCGCGGAGGTAAGTCCTTTTACCCACGCCCGACATTTTTCTTATTGCGCCGCTGAACTGTCCGAGACGGTGCCTGTAACGAGAATTTTCATTCTCATATTGAAAATACAGGATGTAGATACTGTGCGATCTAGGAAGCAAGGGAACCGAAAAGAAAAAAAGGAAGCGGATAATTTGTCGTTTATCGACGCGCATCTCTTATTCTCTCCTCTCTGCTCGAATCTAGTGCGAGAACGAGATACGCGAACGAGAATTGGCAAGTTTCGCAGATAAATCGCGCGACATAGGAAACGGTTAGGCCGTGTCACGGTGTTTAGCCCACTTTCCCGAAGGTTTCTCAGGTAGCTAGAATCCCGTTGCCTCGTTCTCGGCCCCCCCCTCCAATCCATCGGGTTCCAACCACCCGGTAGGTATACCGGGTGCGTTTTATCCTCGCTACTCTCCCCGCTCGAAATTGTCCTTTCCGTTTTTCCACTCGCCTGCCATGGTGAAACCGCCAAACACACAGCCAGCCCTTGCGATGGAAACGCGTGTAGTACCTACCCAACGAAATACCTGCTTGTATTGATCGAATATTGCGGTAATTCGCAGGAGAGCCACCGATAACACGGTTAGACGATATCGTTATCGTTCCCGACAAATTACAATTCTGCCTCATTTACCGATCGTTCCCTCCAATCTTGTGCCAGATCTTAGCTGTACGGTTCGAAACACGCCGAGTGTACACGTTAGACCGTGGATGGAGAGGAGTGGCGGTGAATTACGACTAATTCCTAACGTCACTCGTCATTGCGTTTACCACGACAAATCTACATGCGTTAACGTTCTTTCGCGCGGTCGACAGAGATCCTCGGTGTCTGTGAGAACGTTTCTCCCGCTTCGTCTCGGATCTCGTAATTTCTCCTTCGACACTTTTCTCGGACTGTTCCTCTCCGAGTGCAGCACGTGTCGCGAATGCACGGACGCGGCAAAGTAAAGGCATGTTCACAACGATCGCGAATCGATCTTTCGTGAATATTTTTAGTCCCCGACGGAGGATCGGAAGTTCGACAGGGGAGGAGGGGCAGTTTTTAGACGGATATCAAGTTCGATTATCCTGCCTGAAATTAGCGGGATTATTCCAAGACAGAGTCGGCACGCCTTAGGTATACATGGTGCGTTCTGCGATGTCTAGTACCTACTTCGTCTATTTATATCGAGCTGCTCGGTAAGAAGCGAAAATTCTCAAACGGAGTTGTAAGTGGCGATAGTAGAGAGATCTTTTCGCATCGACAAGCAAGTTTTCCTTTTTCTTTTGAATGGGAATCAGTTGGTCGTCGGTGCTCGACGATTAATTATCGAGGTTTCAGGAGATGTTAGAGTTGTCACGTTTATTCGACAGAATGAAACGATACATGAAATTGATCGATAGATAAATAATTAGCATCTCGAAGGTATAGTTGTATTGAAAGGAATCGTAACCTTGGTCCACTTAAAAGATCTCCATTATCCTTCGTGGCACGTTTCTCGTACACATTTTGTCATTAACTCGTAAGGCGAGCCGCCTCGTTAAGAGATCGTTCTTCCAACGGAACGTGCTCTCGTTTCGGCTCTCCAATTTTCTTTTCGCGAAACTTTAGCCGTCTTATCGTCGCATTATGTGAGTTACAGATTAGACCCCCAGCTGCTCTCTCCGATCTCCCTCTGCCGTCGCCTCTATACGCTCGTACCCCGAGAAAAGAGAGTAGGGAGGCGACGACCCTACTGGGCGGAAGACCATGATTCGAAGTAACCTAGCGACCGTCTACGGAGAGATCGCGAAAGAAAGGCATTCAATCGGCCTGGCCAGTCTTTGCGACTGTTGCCCGCTCGAAAAAGAAAAAAAAAAAAAGAGATTCTTTCCCCTCTTGAAATATTCCTGGATAGTTGCGTCGTCGCGTCCCCAGCTCTTCAACTTCTTCCAATGATATCGTATATTCTTTTTCTCCGCTCTCTTG